ACGGCCTGTATCTGCTGCTTTTTCTTCTTACCTATGTAGGGCCAAGCCTCCTGATGGCCGCTCTCACCCTCTTTTTCACTTCCTTTCTGAGGAAAAGGAGCTCTTTCTCATCCTGTATTATCAACTTTCAATAACCTTTGTATATTATGGCACCTGCAGCCTTCATTTCTGTGTTTATTAATACAGTGCGCTTAATAAAAAAAAACTGCCCTGAGGTTATCTGTTAAGATGAGCAAAGAAAAACAAAGGTAGTAATTACTGTGCTTTCTCAAGATCAATCCTTTGTTTTCATCTGTACTCTTTGATCAGCAGCTCTGTGCCCCAGATTTTTACTTCGATCCTATACCAAAGCCTGACCACCCTGAGATAACAAGAGCACATGATACTCTGGTAACGAGAATGTACTGAAGGTGCTGAGTGTACCCTGTTAACTCAGCCTCCTTCTTCTTGGCACCCGACGCGCTCCACGGCTCAAGAGATCCTTTCTGCAGGGTTTATGCAGAAAGCCACAGACACCTCCCCAAACCTCGTGCACAGTAGTGTGTCACTGCCTGTGAGAGGTACAGTTCAGTTTGCAAATGAAACATGTAATCATTCACATGAACAAAAACCTAGGTTATGTAGCCCATAGTCAGTCCAGATGCAAACATGAACAGAAAACAGTCAAAACTCCTGATTGTGCAGTTATGACCCCTTTGAGGTCTGTACACGGAAGCTGTACAAGTGGAAAGCTATAAAACGCAAACAGTTCTTTCGTGGGACGCATTTTCTCAAAGAGCTGAAAGCACAGTGAATATTGAGGTATTTTGTTGACAAGTGGAGAAAGTGAGGCCAGGGGAAGCCAATTCATCTGCAGAGAGATACAGAGACATCTAGTTCAGTGCTCTGCCACGAAGAAATTTTGATTCCTACCCTAAAGAATCTAAAAGAAAAGAAGAGAGGATCCATGGAGTTCATGTACAGCAGCCCAAAGAAGAGGAATAGGGACGTGTAAAGGAAAGGGAGGGGAAACAAGGTGCAGAGTCAGCATTTCAAAGTGAGAGTTGCAAACAAGATTTGAAGAGAGGCCCCTAAACAGCTGACTACAAGGTTCTCTGAACTGAGCACCAATAAACTGTGTCCTGTGAAGTGACCTTTTGAAATGGCCCGTTCTCCAGTGGCAGAGAAGAGGCAGGCTCCCTTAGGCCTGGGAGCCCACAGAGAGGGTGGAGACAGAACTGGCTGGTGGTCTCTGTGCTTGCTGAGCCTCTCGTCACCTAGAAGGCTGATATCTGAGGATGGCACCTGGGTATCTGGTGCATCCGACTCTCACCACAGTCGGACAGCACTGACGCGTAGGGGCCACCCCTCCTATAGAAAAATGGTCCCCATTGCAGCTCCCAGTACAATGCCTGGAGGCCCAACCATGATGAGTTTCCCTAACAGGGGGCCAGGCTAGGTGTTCAAATTTTCTGTGTCTTGTGTTCCTCCCTTATCTTCTGCCAGACACTCTCTTCCCTATCTGTTTCCTTGGTTGGAGGCACAATTTTAAAAACTTCTTCTCTCTAAAGCCCCCATGCCCCTCAGAACTCTCTCGTGACCCCTGTCCTGTGGGCTTGTCTGTGTCCCCTTCACATTCATTTTTCTTTATCTCCCAAGTATCAGAAAAAGCCACTGTCTTGGGGGAAAAGGCTAAAAGAGAAGAAATAACAGTTTTCTTTCTAACAGAAATATGAAACCATCTTTTTAAAAAATGAAATGGGCCCATCTTTACCATAGCGTGCAGAATAAAATTCAGTTCATTGAAATTCTTGTAGGAAATAAGATTTTCTAAGTTCTTATAGCAGAAAATACTTATAAAAACTTAGTATTTTAATTGAGCTGATGATGTCTATAAAACAAGCAGCCCAGGTCTTTCCGAGTGGATACATTGTGATTGCCACAGAGAGACCCTGTGCAGGCTCCAGGCCCTCAGGTCAGCCCATCTGGGGAGATGGTGGGAGAGAGCGAGTGTCATTCTCCTTGTCCCTGTCAGCCAGATGCAGTGTTGATGATCCCTCTTTTCTGGCAAAGCTGTTACCGGTATGTTTCTACTTGGCCCGGAGCATGGAATTGCTTACATACGCTCCCTGGGCTACGGAGAAGAAGGCAGGACAAGAAAGAGCAGGGAGGAGTGGGGCACAGACCGGAAAGGAGCTGGGGAGGAGCGCGCTGTGAGCTGACGTTGTGGCCCCAGCGGGTGACCCTGCCAGCACCAGCGTAGGCGGGGGCACAGCTCCGTCCCCTGGCTGCAGCTGCCCGGGGAGAGCAAGCTGCCTTAGGAGATGTGACATGCCGCCGCTCTAGCTGCCACATCTGCTGTGTCCAAGCCGAGCATTGGAAAATAGGCTTGACCCAAGTGGCCAATTAAACTTTCCATTGGCAGAGACTGAATTAGGAGGTTTTTTTTTTTTTAAGGGAAATACTTCCATTTGAGTAGTTTTGTTTTTTAATGAAATGAAACATTTACTGACCTTAGCTCCACAGAGCCATGGGAGAGTGATTGATTGATTAAACTCTGGTGCCATTTCGGACCAATTCTCAGGGCCAGATTCAAGCCCTGGGAGGCCTTCTGGGGGTCGTAGCCACCACCAGGAGCGCCTGTCATCTCTAAGGAGCTCCAGGCCCTTTGCCTGCCTTTCTTCCCACTCCTGGCAGGGTCCGGGACCAGAGGGCTTCCTGTACACTCAGATTCTGTAGTTTCTGAAATACTATGAAACCAAAGACTGTGAAACATGGGGCAGAGCATGCACTCCGGAGGATGCCAACCCTGACACGTGATTACACTTTTTTCCCAACCTTTCTGGGCTGCCTGGGACGAAGAAGCTGCCATCTCTCATGCAGGGCTTTCCAGCCAAACCCTCGGGAGCAGATGTGCTTCCAAATCAGACAGTGTTTAGAAAGTCAGTGCAATGCAGAGACTGCATTATATAACACCCTGGGAGAGTGTGGACCAGAACAGTCAACTGCCTCCCATCGTGGCAAGTTTGTAACCAGTTCAGATCAGTTTTGCTGCCAAGCCAGTTACAAAAACTTGCTGGTTTTCAGAAATTGTTGGACTTCGGAATGGTGGAGAAAGACACGTTGGCCTGCATCCCTTGCCCCAGCTGGCAGGAACTCTGCGGGAAAGGGCTGCCCCAGGAACCCCTGCTGCCAGCTCCTGCCCAGGTCTTGAGTTTTCAGCATGTGGAGAAGGTTGTAAGCCAGGGTGTCAGATGTACGGCACACATCCTGCAGCAGCCTGTTTGTATTGTCCAAAGTTCTAGAAGGTTTGCCATCACTGGTGCAGGCTGAGCAGCCCTGACTTGTGAGTGAGGCTAATTTACAGCAGATGTATTGAAAGCCTATTGCATTCCAATGAAAATAATGTGTATGTTTTATCACCTCAAGAAATTATAATGTCAGAGGATAAATTATCCTACAAGGCTTTGGACAAGCAAATGACTGATAGGGCCGTGGTCAACAGCCAGGAAAAGCCAGGATACACCCAGCTGAAAAATCTGAAAGTCTGAGTGTCTCCCACCTAGGCAGGCAGGGTTCTGGTTAACAGGCTGCCTTCTCCCCCAAAATTAAAGGGAGCTACATGTATAGGTTGTGTTCTCCTGCTGGTGCCAGTCCCAAGAGATAGGGAGAAAGTCTTCAGTGTCTGTATGGCTTGAAATCAGGTTCTTGCTTTTGTGAATTAACTAGGTCAGAAATTGGAGAAGATTCCAGATTGCAGGAGTAGCCAAAACATACAAGGTCTTGGCAGGGAGAAGGCAGAATGTGATACAGAAGAAAATAAGACGAAGAAAAAGAAAAACTGGGGAATAGTGCCTGGCTTTCGTAGGAGAGGGGTCAAGGCATGGTATCCCAGGTACTGTCAAGAAGGCCAGCACGTGGGGCTGTGTTCTGCAGGGGCTGGTGCTCTCCACAGTGCCTTCTCACACAAGGCACCGTGATGCTTCTGCGTAAGGAAGTTGCCCGAGGGGGTCAGGACCACCCCAGTGATAGATGGCCTGGCTGCCATCATCTGTAAACAGGGGTGCTGGGGACGTCACCTCCCCATCTAAGTCACCAAGCCTCGTGGCACTGTGGGGTCACCAGGCAGGAGTGCTCAGCCATGCTAGTGTGGTGGTAGATCCCGGAGAGTGGGATCCCAGCAAGAGTTTGCCTAAGTTTAAGAAAAACTGACTCACGAAGTTCCTAAATGGACCTTCCAGGGGCTATAAACCAAGGGTTTGCATGCTTTCATTCCATGATGTGTTTGGGTGGTGGATATTTGGGTTATTTTTGTTGTTTTTTGGGTCTGCTTTATTCCTATATTATTGTCTACTCAACTGGAGTATAATTTACATACAGCAAAATTCAGTTTTAATTTTTAAGGACACACTTCAGTGAGTTTCGGCAAACCCAACACCCCACACATGCTGTAGAACAAGGGCAGGCAGACCACACCACCCACAGGCCAAACCTGCTTCCCTGCCTTGTTTGGCTTTATACCTTCCTTCCTCAAGGATTGTAAAAACAAAACAACAAAAAGGCAGAAATCATATGCAGCCCAGAATGCGGAGATGCTATTGTCCTTTCCAGGAAGCACATCTGGCCCTTGATGCAAGGCATCCCCTCGCCTGGCACAGCTCCCTGTGACCCTTTGCAGGCAGCCTCTGCTCCCACCTGGCAGTCCAGTGATCTGCTGTCTGTCAATGTAGTTTTTGCCTTTTCTAGGATTTTATATACCTGAAATCATTGTAGTATGTTGCTTTTGTGTCTGGCTTCTTTCTGAATGCTTTTGAGATTCATTATCAGGTTTCTGCATATGTGAGTTCTGCGTTCTTTAGTTAGACTACAAGCTATGGTGTCCCATGAAAGGCAGCTTGGGCCCCTGGGTGTGGTGAGGACCTCCCATGTCTGCACCATGCACAGGTCCAAAGTAGGAGAAGGAGGAGCTTCAGAGGTGGTGCCAGGCCTGGGGCCCACTCTCACTGCCCTTGTCTTTGCAGGCATGAACAACCGGGAAGTGCTGGAGCAGGTGGAGCGCGGCTACCGGATGCCCTGTCCCCAGGACTGCCCCATCTCTCTGCACGAGCTCATGATCCACTGCTGGAAAAAGGACCCCGAGGAGCGCCCCACTTTTGAGTACTTGCAGGGCTTCCTGGAAGACTACTTTACTGCCACAGAGCCCCAGTACCAGCCTGGGGAGAACCTGTGAGGGCCGGGTCTGCAGAGGCCTTGTCCCAGAGGCTCCCCACCCCTACCCATTAGCTTTCCATTCTGTAGCCAGCTGCCCTGAGCAGCGAGAACCGTCCAGGATCAGATTGCATGTGACTCTGAAGCTGATGAACTTCCATGGCCCTCATGAATGACACTTGTCCCCAAATCCAAACCTCCTCTGTGAAGCATACGAGACAGAACCTTGTTATTTCTCAGACTTTGGAAAACTGCATTGTATCGATGTTATGTTCAGTGTAAATAGTTACTCCAGTGCCAAGATCCTAGTGCTTTCCTTTTTTTAAAATGCAAATCCTATGTGATTTTAACTGTCTTCACCTGATTCAACTAAAAAAAAAAGTATTATTTTCCAAAAGTGGCCTCTTTGTCTAAAACAATAAAATTTTTTTTCATGTTTTAACAAAAACCAATCAGGACAGGTGTTTGTTTTTTTTTTTCTTTTTTATAAATATGAGTATATATAATATATGTTCCTGTACTTGTACCATGTGGGTGCTATGTGGGGCCATGGTCAGCCTGGGCCTTAAAGCTGCAGGACCCAGAGGGAGGATTTCATCTGCATCGAAGCACTGGTGTTATTCTGCAATCCAGTGGCCTCATTTTTGGTTTTTGTAAGGCATGATTCCTTTTTTTTTTTTTTCCTTTTTATTCATTTGGATTGCACTTTTTTGGTTCACAACTGTACTGTTAGATGGTTGTTACTTTGACTCCTTTCAGGAACCATTGGGCTGAGTTCACAAGTTCTGTTACCAGTATTTTCTCCAACTTGCTTCAGTTTGTTCTTGAAACATAAAAGTGAACATTTTTTAAGCAAGAAGCCAATCCTACCAAGAGAACTGGAAGATGGATACCACACAAACTTCCTGTACAAAAATATGAATGCTGAAATGTTTCAAATGTTTTTTTATTTAATAAATCTTGTAACCACATTTAAATGGTCTAAAACCCATAGCATTGTAGTCATGGCAACCTACTAAACTTTCTCATGCAACTAAAATTTATGGGGAAGGTGGGGGGGGTTGTACGTGTCCCATTGTAAAATAAGTGTTTTAAATGTCCTGTATTGCTAATGGATGACTTTATATGTTCAAGAGTTTTCCAGTGGAATAACTATGCACTACTTTACATTTCATGGGGATGCACAAAAAAAAAAGTATTACATTTTTAGTTGCTGTTTGTACCAACCTTGAATTACATGTTTAACAACAACAAATCAAAAGTCCTATTTCTATTGTTTTTTAATACTGAGTAGCAACTCTGAAGTCTTAATTCCTTTTTTGTTATGATTTATTTGTGAGTTTACGTTTTTGAATTGTTTAACTTTCTTAATTTAGTAATTAAAAAGAGAGCATTTTACATTTGAAATTTTTTTTTTTTGTTCATTTGTTTAAATCACTACAGGTACTCTAGTAGTTCTGTGACATAATCTGCCCCATGCTAGATGGAGTCATCTGGTGGATTTAGCCATTGTGTGGTGATTTCCAAATGACAGAAACATTCACATCCTCTAGAGATGCCTCCCCCCTCTCAAAAGGCTGGACAGTTTTCTAACTCATTCCAAAGACTGTTAAAGCAAGAGTAGGCATACCTTAACATTCTCGTTTATCAGACATTTTCTCTGACTAGAATTTGCTGTGTCCCACTTTCAGGAGAAAGAGACAATGACAAGAAGAGTCTCTTTGTCATGGAATCAGTAAACATATTTCCAGTGTCCCTCTGCTCCTATAATGAAATCAGACCCAGCTAACTGTCTGGGTCTGGCTGTGCCATCATTCAGCTCTGAGACCTCAAGCAGCCACCTGGCTCAAGGCAAGCAGCTCACCTCTGCCTGTCTGTGGAGATGAGAGGATTGGCTGAGATTCCCTCTTAGGTCCTTACAGCTCCAATATCCTGTGACGTCACATGGAGGCACTCAAAGAAGACAGTGTTTGTTGTTGGGGTAGTTGTTCCAATAAACTTTATATTTAGAAAGGGTTTTCAACATTTGGAGAGGGGAAGAAAAAGGTTAAACAGATTTTTTTGATTAACTAAAATATTATGGTATTGGGCCAGAGATTTAGCTCAGTGGTGCCAGCGCCTGCCTGGCAAGTGCGAGCTCCTGAGTTTGATCCCCAGTTCGGCAAAAGAACAAAAAATATTATGGCATTGTTTTGGTATTAATAAAATTGATAAATTGATAAAATTCCAAGGCTTTATTGCACGTGATTTTTATCACATTGGGCAGTTCACTAACACATTCTTGATGTTTTTGAAAGATAACTTTATTTTTAATCTTTTCACCCCACTAGGATGGATAATTTGCAAATATTCTCTAGAGGATTTTTCTTTTCTTTTTTCTTCCCTCCCACCCCAACCAGGGATGGAACTCAGGACTTTGCACCTATAAGGCAGGCACTGTGCCACTGAGCTAAATCCCTGGCTCTAGAGGATTTTTGTTTATGTTTTGACTCTTTCCAAAAAATATGAAAAAAAAAACTCTCTTAGACATTTTTCCAAGAAGAAAATAGTTTCTTCAACCCAAAGTATAGTCTTGAATCAGTTGAGCTCACGGATTCCCTTACATAAAGCACTTGGATCAGCTTGAGGCCTGGCTTATGGAGGGTGCAGGAGCTGTTCTGAAATGCTTACAGCAGGGTTGCGGAGTGAGATTACAAAGAAGGTATACATACAAAGAAATCAGAAGTTTAGGTTTTTTTCTTCCAAGAAGGTAATGTGCTTTCAAGAGAAGATCTTGAAGTCACCTCGGGGAAGTCCCACCACCTTTCAGGAATCCTGTCTCACCAGCTGTACAAGTTTATAGCAAGGAACCCACAGTCCCTGACCAGAGTTCCCTTACTATGAAGAGAAGTTAGCATCTTGGTATCAGGCGGTGGTGAAACATTTTTTGCCTTGAGTAACCTGGTAATGGGTGTTTGCTCTGTTTGCTCAGGAGAAGCTGCCATTAGGCACTGGTGCTGGATGGGGAGCCTTTGTGATAAATTTTTTTTTTATTTCTTTAAAAGTCAAATAACCTACTGGAGAATTCCGATCATGAAGCTCAGACATCATAACTGCAGCAGGAGATTCCTGTTCACACCGTTCTCATTGCAGCTCATGCTGTCCCCAGAGGCTGCTTCGGTCACAGTGTACAGATGGGGAGGAGGACCAGAGAGCCCCTGCTACAGGAGGGTGCCCTGTGTTAGAGCATCCAGGTGTAGACCAGGCAAGTGACGCATTTGGCTCTACCATGTGTCGAAAACCAGGCATTTGTAGGAGAAAAGCTAAGCGCATACAGGATCCCTCAGACACAGCCCTGCTACTAAACGTTTCCTGACAAGCACCAGAGAGAGGGTGTGTATCTACCTTGAGAAAGGCAGGAGTCCTCCTGTGGCTGAATCTTGGCAGCAGAGAATTTTTCTAGTAACACTGGAGCTGTGAGATTTTATATTCAGTTCCCCAAGGGGCCTTACCAATTTCTATCATATTAATTGGAATGGTTCTTTCATGAGTCTTGAAAGGAGATAAGGTTTTCAACAATATGCACAGGAGAATTATGCTAAAGCCCACTGCAAGTGGGGATGATATCTCTGTATTTGTCATGACTTGAGACAAGAAAATCTTGCTGGAGAGAGCAGGCATCCTAACAAAATGTATTTGTGTAACATAGTGTTTGGTCCATTTCTTCCTGAAATGTATTTTAATGAATTTAGATGTCTTTTTATTGGCTTTCTTACCACTACATATTGTTGAAATTCAGTGAGACTGTTAAGAACATCTGCTGAGAGGGAAGTTAGAGAGAGAGGAAGACTACCTTTGACTTTAGAGGAAGAAAAGGAACCTCAAAGTTGGATTCTAAAAACAATATGGTAGGATATATACTACTACTAAAGCACTACCAGTTATGTTGTTTATTTAAGTCTCAACAATTGATTAAAACTCCATAGGAGAATATGATGAAAGAATAGTATCATTAATATCTTTGAAATATAAAAGGAAGTTTTCCTAATAAGCTAATTCATACCTTATTCTTTCCCAACATGCAGAATATTCAGAATCTCAGGGGAGGGCTGAGGGTGTAACACAGTGGTAAGGTGCTTGGCGTGCATGGGTGAGGCCTTGGGCCCAACGCCCCCCCACCCCACATCAAAAAAATTCTGAGGCTGGAAATAAAAATGAGTGGCTTTTTCGGTGTGTCAGGAACCGTTCTACTAAGAATATACTCAATGATGAGCTCCCCCAACAGCCAAAATACTGTGCTCCTCCTGAATACTTGCAACTCTTAAAATTGTGTATTTGGTACTGTCGATGTATTAATAATACTGCTCTTCTTACAGTATTTTCCCGGCTAAACTGTGTCTCCTTGAGAACAGAAACTGGCTGCCTCGTCTACCTCTTCCTCCCTGAGACTAGAACGATGAGTTTATGGCAGGTGTCGGACAGCGGATCAGTGTTAGATGGATGCCCACCATCCAGGGGAACAAATGGTTTACCTCTGAATGACACATCTGCCTAAGAACTTGCTAAACACATAGATTTACTGCCTGCTGCCTTCAGCACTAGTTCTGCCCCTTGTGAATGTGCGGTCACCAGTCTTCAAGATGTGACACAAAAGCCCCATCTACTGTCAGAAGTGCTTTCCCCCTCTTCCCAACACCAGTGTGGATAAACCTGTACCTCTTGGAATGTGGGAACAGCATGGAATAAATGATGCCAAATGATGCATAATTTTAAAGTGACTTTGAGGTCTCATTGTAGCTTAGTAATTTTATTGAAACTTGATATTCCACTCCCTAAGTTGTTCATCTGTGTCTGCATGTAAAATTACCCAGACCATTCAGCTGTACAAAATACTCACCTGTGGCTCTGAATAGGCCTGACACACATCTGCCTGACCAAGGGAGCTGCTGTGGCCCATGTGAGAAGCTCAGTGTGAAATTTTCCATAAAAACCTTTCTGCTGATGTTGGGGAGGTCATATTTGCCCCAACTAATAGGGATTCTCTTATCTGATTTCCTTTTTCACCCAGGAAAAAACAGCCCCACAAATTGAAGATGTTACAGGGAAGGAGGACATTTGATGGAAACCACCCAAAGCCACTTGGAAGTGGAAGGCCCTGGTCATTTCAGCCTGCTTCACCAACACGCAGCAAATGGGAGCAGGAACGATGTAGCCACCAGGCCAGGAGGAAGAAACCAAAGCCCGAATGAGAGGAACCTTCTGGAATAAAGATGGAAAGAACTGTGGATACAGGTAAGAGCTAACCATTCATTCCTTATTGTGGTTTACATCTAAAAGTCAAGACTTTCGTGTACTCATGGGCATGGCTTTTGGAAGGTGATTGGATTTAGAGGGGTAGTGTAGCTGACTTGCTGTAGGAGGTGGAATCTG